GGTTAACACGTTAACTCTTACGGTTAACATGTTAACTCTTAATAGTTAACATGTTATCTTTAAGAGTTAACATGTTATCCCTAAGAGTTAACATGGCATGAGAAAGAGGGGGGTAAAATTGGGATTTATGCCAACTGACATATCTAATCATGAGCTGGTATGTCTAATCATCTGCTGGCATGAATCGCGTGACCGGCGACGATTATGGTTATTATATTAACGTGTTAACTCTTACGGTTAACACGTTAACTCTTACGGTTAACATGTTAACTCTTAATAGTTAACATGTTATCTTTAAGAGTTAACATGTTATCCCTAAGAGTTAACATGGCATGAGAAAGAGGGGGTCGCGTGACCGGCGACGATTATGGTTATTATATTAACGTGTTAACTCTTACGGTTAACACGTTAACTCTTACGGTTAACATGTTAACTCTTAATAGTTAACATGTTATCTTTAAGAGTTAACATGTTATCCCTAAGAGTTAACATGGCATGAGAAAGAGGGGGGTAAAATTGGGATTTATGCCAACTGACATATCTAATCATGAGCTGGTATGTCTAATCATCTGCTGGCATGAACTGGAATCATGATGGAGGGGCCTGGACACAATTTTTTCAAAAACAAGGGGCTGCAACACATTTTAAAAAATATGAGGGACTGGAGCACATTGAAAGTTGGATTTTAGGGCCTAGAAGTAATTTTCCCTTATATATATTATACCATGACAAAAGTCACACATGCAATAACTAGTTCCAGTACAAAACAAATAAATTATACCATGACAAAAGTCACACATACAAAAGTCCCTTATATAATTTTCCAACTCTTTATTCATGCGTATCAAACACAGTGTATTTTTAGACGCTAAAACTGTTATTCCCACTTCTTATCAATTCCCACTTTACGCGAGAATTGTCATTCCCAACCATTTAACAAGGAATAGATATTCCCACTAACAAAAATAATCAAATAATTTTTGATTATACACTCCTTAAAAGATACGAATAGATATAAATTCTCATATAAAAAATCATTTCTATGGAAATAATATTATTAGTTGCTCGTACAAATATACAAATAGATGTAAAATATTAAAATACTATCATTTGTTTGACTTTGCCCTATATCCATCGCGTCTGCAGTAGAAAAAAATCTCGTTTTCACCTCAACGCGATTTCGGTTGGGTAACCATTATTTCTTTTTAAAATATGTATGTGTGGCTAATCTCTACCTAATATTTACAACAATTTTTGTTTATATTTTGGCGACTCGGTTGTGTAATGTAGGCTGTCTAAAAATCACAATAGATAGCTGATCCCCATCAAAATGGAAGTTATAATTTGATAACTTGCAGAAGGTTACAATTTGAAGACTTTCACGTAGATCGATGAAGGTTACAATCTGACGACCTTCACAACAACTGATGAAAGCTCTAATCAACAGCCTTCACAATCAACATAGGGAGTTACAATCTGACGACTTCACAACAACTGATGAAAGCTCTAATCAACAGCCTTCACAATCAACATAGGGAGTTACAATCTGACGATTCTCATATTTTCAAGGAGCCAAGACGAAGATTACTGAACAATAGTCTTTGCAACGCTCTACAGAAGAAGCTATAAGTCATTGGCTCTTTCTAAAACGCGGAATTAATCTTCGCGTTTCAATTTCTGAAACGCAGATGACCCCCGCGTTTCCAAGCTTCAACAAGCAAAACGCAAGCGACCCTCGCGTTTCCAAGCTTCAACAAGCAAAACACAAGCGACCCCCGCGTTTCCAAGCTTCAATAAGCAAAACGCAAGCGACCCTCGCGTTTCCAAGCTTCAACAAACAAAACGCAAGCGACCCTCGCATTTCCAAGCTTCAACAAGCAAAACACAAACGGCCCTCTCGTTTTCGATGTTCGGTCAACACCCAACTCTGCGTCTCAATCCTAAGACGCAGAGTTAGGGTCCTGAACGTCAAATTGGGCGTTTGACTCATTCAAACATGAGTCGAACGGTTTCATAACCGTTTTTCCCACGATCTGAGGAAATCACGCCCGCTTATGAGCGGATTAAGGGGGCAGTTACAACCCCTTATCCTCCTATAAAACCTCAACAAACTCAACAGAGTAGGAGGTTGGATCTTTTCGGCTAGAGGCTGGATCTTTGATCTTTCGGCTTGGCAGCAACAAAGATCTCTCGATTTTGGCAGAAAGGAGGAGATCTTGGACTGTCCTTTAGAGGAATTTCTAGAGCTTTGAAGATCAGCAACAAGAGCTCTCCTCATTCTTAGCTTACAAACTGATTTCGGTTAAATCAACTCTTTCATAGAGTTTCTAAACTTGTCCAGAGTTCTAAAACTTGCTTTGCAAGTTCTCCACAACGTCAAACCGTGAGGAGAAGATACCGTTCCAGTGAATCAAGACGTTCGGATCGTCGACGAGAAGCAAACTCGACGCGAGCATTCGATGGAGGCATCTCATCGCCACCGTAAAGAACTCAGAATTAAACAAATGGGAGAATCCAGATCATTCTCCTTTCTTTTGTAATCGGGAATTTAAATTGTAATTAAGATCGAGAGAATACAAATCAAATTTCTTTCATTTTACTTACTTCAAATTTTCCATCAAACATGTAATTTATTAGCAATTAGGTTAGCAAATATTTTATCTTTGGATGTATGATTTGAAGTTCCATTGAAGCATATATGCCTAATCTTTTTTAGTAATTTCTTTAAAGCACTCGCAACAAGAAATAATGTGCTTAATTGATGAAATTGGAACTTTATATTTTGATTAAAGGTTAACATGGTTTCTATTCCTTCAAACTTTCTAGGTAAACATGTTTTCTATTCCTAATCAATTTTTTGAAAGTTAACGATGCACTTGAAAATTTATAAAAAAAATTATATACATACTAAAAGTTAACATGTTTTTCTAATCCTTCAAAAATTTAGTGTTTTCTTCTGATCTTTCTCTCCATGCATGAACATGAAATTCAATCATAAATCATGTAGCATGCATATGGAATTCAGTCTATTGTATACGTTTGTGCACAGTGATGCTAGTAGCATTAGTTGCTCGTACAAGCAATAGACATGTAGCATTAAAAGTTAAAAATATGAAATTATATTATAATTATTTATAATAAAAATAATCTCTATGAATTTTTTTTAAACTTAGTAAGCCAAAAGTCCGAAATTATTGCTGAGGCAGTGTACCAAAATATAACTATCAACTGAAAAATTATTTCTATAAGAAAAAAATATCATATCTATAAAAATTATTTAGTCATTTTAAAATATTTTTTGTTTTTAAAATTCTATGTTTTTATAAAGGCATTATTAGAAAATTAAATTTTATTCTCATTTGTGAACAAATGATACCAAATGTGAAAATGAGAATAAGATTGCCATTCATGTTTCATTTTTTAAACGCGCCCAAACATGAGAATGAGAATGCGCATTTCATTCGCATATCTATTCCATTCTGTTCCTACATTCTTTCCATTCTTACTAGACTCCATTCCCGCATACCACAGGAGACGTAAGGTTCTCATAGGAGAGCAAGTAAGTCAAGGATCATGTAAAGAGGACAGAGAAAGTAATAGAATAAACTCTCCATGTAATAGAATAAACTCTCCATCTTAAAAAAAAGATTATATAGCTAAAAGCGCAGCACTTTTTAAGAGACAGAGTGTGTAGTCAAAGGCGCATGTGAGATGAGATGCATCATCTATGTAGATAAAAGTAGCAACATGCTACTAATTTACTCAATGGCGCATGTGAGGGGCTCATTGGCATTCACAGTTTCACACCAAAGGATGCACTCAAATGGCACATGTGAGTGCCATTGACATTCCCACCGTTCTTATCCTATCGAGTGTCATAATATCAGTCAAAGCGGTAAAAATCTCGAGATTCACGTAGTGCTTGAAACTTACCGAGCATCGTGGAGATCAATAAACAAAGAATTGGAGGTTGGACAGCGAGGCAGGGGGAGTAGTCGAAGAAAATATGATTCGTTGAGTGATTACATGTCAAAATTTGTCATGTGAAGAGGGAACAGCTCAAAATCATGCTAATAATATCCCCATATATACGAAGATTGATACATATAATGCCATAATTGGTAAATGGAAATGCTGAATGCTCTAAATTATGTAAAAATGCTGAAATACATATAATGCCATAATTGGTAATGAAGATATAAGATGATAACAGATAAAATCAAATCAAATAGGGATCAAAGCACAGTTTCTGAGTACATATTTACGCAAGTAACAAATGAGGGGGCGGGCAAAAACAGAAATTAGGAAAAACTACATCCACATTTGAAGCTACTCTGTGCGCAGGCTAAAATTTTCTATCCCCTGTCACGCTTCAGGTAAATTCATTAGCAGCAGAGGAGAGGGGGGAAAACGATACTCACTCAGGATCATGAATAGCTTTCCTCCTCTTGCTCGATACTCTCGAATTAGGCGACGGCGAGGAATCCAGAGGAGCCACGGGGAGATCCATCTCCCCCTTGAGAATCCTCACGACCTCTCCGCTGTCAGGCCTCAGCTCCGGCGCCTTCTGCAGACACGAAAGAGCCAAGTTTATGCAAGGCCTCGCCTCCTCTTATGTCGAAAGCAGCCCCTCAGCCGCCTCTATGCAACCAAATCCAGCACCATCGCCGGCGCTGCCAACTGCCTGCACCAGCCGACGAGGTTCGCTCTCTCGAGCTTCATAGGAGAAGATAAAACATGCAGCGGCCTTCTCCCTGAAACGATCACGAGGACGAGAACCCCGAAGCTGTATATATCGGCCTTCTCCATTAGCCGCCCGCACCCTCCGTGCTCGGGGGCAACGTAGCAGATCGTCCCTCTCATGCTGGTCGCGGTGCTGCTTAGCTCTCTGCTGAAGAGATCGCCGCTGAACATCTCGCTGCCCACCGATTTGCTCCTCCTCTTCTTCCTCCTCCTCCCCCAGTAGCTCGACCCCCTGTCAATCTTGTGGTTATGGGCGTTACTGTTGCTGGCCTTTCGAACCCAGTTCATCCCGTTACTGCACTTTTGCTTCTTGCTCATCTCCGCGAAGTGCTCCTCTCTTTCCACCATTGCCTTGCGCCGCCGCAGGGATATGAGCACAAACCCTCCTGTTTTTCTTTCTCTCGGCCCCCCGACGACGAAGCTCGCTTTGCGGGCGCGGGCGTCGTCCGGATCGCTCTTCTTCCTTCGCCGTCCGGCCCGTTCGGTCACGCGGGGGGGGGCAAATTTGGCTCGCAATCCTTCTCTGACGTAGTGCCCGCTGCTCAGGCTCACCGTCCTTCTTGCTTCCACGCACCAATCGCCACGCCGTTGCACGCTTCCCGGCCTCCGCTCGCACGTCAGGGGGGCGCACTTGCAGCTTTTCCTTGCTTTCACGTTCGCCTCGTCCTCCAGGGCTCGCGCGATGGGGTGCACCGGACTGACCCCCTCGACGGCTGCCTTGGCACGCCCTCAGACTCGAATTGCGAAGCTCAGCTGACAGGGGCTCACGGGCCAGAGCTCCTGGTCGGAGAGGAAGCCGAGGTCCTGGCTGAGCTTCATCGTCGGCCCGCCCGGCAGCGCGGCGCGGGGTGGCGGGTTCGCCGCTCGCGTCTTTTACTTTCGGCTCGCAAGCGCCGGAAATCGGCGATCTTCCGCCACTGCAAGCGGGACGAAGGAGAATTGCTGGGACTTCACATCGGGCCATGAACACCTGGAGGGTCGCGACCCCAGGTGGAGGAACCTCAGGCCGGTCGCGCATCGAGAATGATCTGCAAACCTCCGGTCACAGCGAGGCCTCGAAGGCGGAGGAGAGCGGCCCAAAGAGGGCTTCTGCAGGCCTTCCGTTGATAGGTAGCTCCCCGTAGACGAGCCACTCGGCGCCGGCGTCGCAGTAGGCCGAAGGAGGGAATACGACGAAGGGGAGGGCCGCGGGAGGAGAGCAGCGAGCTCGTTCCTGACTCGAGATCCGGGGCTGGGGCGGAGGCGGCGAATGAGCTTCGATCGGCGACGGGACTTGCGCGAGGGGAGGACGCGCGTAGACGAGGCGAGGCGCCCCGGATGAGGAGGCGGAGGGGTCCGAAGTCCGGCGGTGGGACGGAGGCGGAGTCGCCGTAGGAGAACGCCGGAGCGCGGGCGGCGGGGATTCGAAGGCAGGGTCGGGGAAGTCTCCGGCGGAGGCGGAGGAAGAAGAAGTAGAGGCAGCCACGATGAAGAGGGTCAGGAGGAGGGAGGCGGCGGGGGGGGGGAGGAGAGGCGGTGGACGGAGGGGGAGGTGGAGGCGGCAGGTGGGGGGGAGGGGAGGGGAGGGCAGCGCGGACGGGAGGGCATCGGAGGGGGATAGGGTTAGGTTTATGGAGTTTTGGAGCATGATGCTGCTGAGGGTGGTGGAAGGGGGCAAAAAACACACCGGGAGATGGGGGAGGAGGGAGGAGAGGGGAAAGGTGCTTTTACAGATGAAATATACTGCTGGGGTACCGAAGGAATCATTCTAATTATGATTCTTTACTTTTTTTTATTATTATATATTTTGTTATACCGTATTGGGTATTAATTAATATTTTAAGGTTGTCGAGGAATGTGAAAGGAGGACGTGGGTGGGGTGGTCAGAGGATTGGTGGGCGTGAGTGAGCTCTTTTTTCCTTGCTTTTGACCAGAGATTCAGTTTGCTTATGATGTTACAGAATCGCCCCCTCTGGAACTATTATTAAAAAAAAAAAATGGGAAAAATGTGTCCAGGCCCCAAAAGTGGGAACTTCGTGTGACTAGCCCCCCTGTACTTGCTTTGCTCCCATGTGGAATAGCCCCAAATACCGGCCATAGTGATTTGCGCCGAGCCCGAATTGACTCTTTTCAGAAAAAGCCAGCGACGGAAGTCTACATCTGCCCTCTGATGGCGAGCTGGTTAATTGACCTCACCTTCTACAACGTACTCTCCCAATCGTCTTTCTCTCTCTTCCACCTAGCACCGTCATGCAAGAATCTCTCTTCCTAATTTGTGTACGAATATTCAAGTTTCTAGGGTTTCGCGGAAAAATGTCTCGCTCGTCTACGGAAAATCAGTACGACTAACGGAGGTAGCACCGAGCGAGTTAGGAAGGAACGGCGCTTCAATTAGCGGTGCAGCGGAGAAAGCTACGGAAGCTACGAAACACCTATCGAAATGGCAAAAGGGAGGCATTACAATCGGCGAGAGCCGCAAAAAGGAGACGACAATGGATGGTCGTACCAACGAACCCCTCAAAAAAACAGTAAAGTGTTATGTATATCTGCGGACAGACAATGCAGTATAATACCAATATTGTTCAGTTCTAGCTGTGATGTTATATGCGACAGACGACAATGCAGATTAACCCATATTGTGTAGTTGTAGGTGTTGGTCGCAAAATGTTAGTGCTAACTTTTACCAACGTTAAGATCTGAGTTTAAGTCCATGTTGTTCTAATATGAGTCAATGTTAGTTCTCATTCAATATTAGCGCTGTTTAAGCCTATTTTGTTCCGTTACGTGCTAGGTTTCAATATTGTTTCATATGTCTTATTGAGACGTACAGATTCGAAAAAAGTTCTTTTGCAGGAAAAAATTGCTCTAACAGGCCTCAGCCAGAAACACTAAGGTTAACGCAATATCGGCTGTATTGGGCATTTAGTGACAGCGCTTGCCCCGAAGATGCGTAGGGCATAGGGATGCATACTGAGCGGTTCTATATTCATGGCACTAACATTTCTGTTTGGGGCTCCTGCGGCTGACGGCCCACCTTGATCGCCTGCTGGCGAGCTTTTTCGAAGAGAGTATAGACATCCCTTTTGTATACCCTGATTCAAAAACGTGGGCGTATGAAAAGTGTTAGTTTTGATTTGCAATGGGTCCACAACCATACTTATTCCCATTTATGGGAAGGGACATAGAGGAACAATAGGGAGCTCAAGAAGCAGAATATGGCTGGAATACTTCGCTAGCTTCATTTCTGAAGAGGTAAGAAGTTAAAAATCAAGAAACCGCCAACGTAAACATCTTGCAAGGGCTACTTGAAGCGGCTTGTTAATCTACAAAAAGCGAGGATATCGAGGATTTTGGCTTTGCTAAAAATTTTGTACCAATCGCTCTATGGATATGGACGTTCCCATAGCAGAAGTATGCCCTAGACCTACTCAAGATACGCTGGATAGCATTCCAGAGGGTCAATTCTGTTGCATTGGGCCCGGTTCTTTTAATGAAATTATCGAGGGGCATTGAGTTGGCTTGGAGGGAAAGAAGAAGAAAGGTGCATATCCGCAGGTTGGCATGACACTATTAGTGTGTAAGTTCGCATATTTTACTGATTTGTTCAGTTCTAATTCTCCTTGATTTAACCCTATGCATTGTTGCTTAGTATTCTAACTTTTATTTATGTTAGTTCTACTTCTGTGCGTTTAGTTCTAATCTGCCAGTGTTAGTTCGCGTTCTGTAGCAGTGTTAGTTCTAATCTGCCAGATTAAGAACTCACACGTCTACGACAGATTAGAACTAACAGCTGCAAGAATAGAGACTACACTCTACAGAATAGAACCTAATCAACTCTGGCAGGATCTAGAACTAACACTCTACACAATAGCAATAACCACAGTCGTCTATTCTATTCTGTAGAGTGTTAGTTCTAATATCTGCACAGTGTTAGTTCTATTCTGTAGAGTGTTAGTTCTGATTGCGTGGCACAGTGTAAGTTTGATTCTGTAAGAGTGTTAGTTCTAATCTGCACGAGTGTTAGTTCCTATTCTGTTAGAGTGTTAGTTCTATTCTGTAGAGTCGTGTTGAGTCTCTTAATCTGCACGCCATTTAAGTTCTATCATATCATGTTAGCTTCCTATCATAAGTTATGGTCGTACCTAGCGTACTAATTTACACCTCTTTAGTTCTAGATGCCCAGCCATATTTGAGTTCTCTTAGTCTAGTCTAGTATAAATGTAAATCGGTAGAATACTAGTTATTTGGTTACACTTTGGTACTACGAGAGTGACAGGCATAAAAAAATGTGCCCTCTTAGACACCTCCAGACCTCG